ATTCTATGATCCAGACTGACTGATGTGCACAGGACAGATTCTATGATCCAGACTGACTGATGTACACAGGACAGATCCTATGATCCAGACTGTGACTGATGTGCACAGGACAGATTCTGTGATCCAGACTGTGACTGATGTGCACAGGACAGATTCTATGATCCAGACTGTGACTGATGTGCACAGGACAGATTCTATGATCCAGACTGACTGATGTGCACAGGACAGATTCTGTGATCCAGACTGTGACTGATGTGCACAGGACAGATTCTGTGATCCAGACTGTGACTGATGTGCACAGGACAGATTCTGTGATCCAGACTGTGACTGATGTACACAGGACAGATTCTATGACCACTCTGTAGAACTGGATCAACAGTTCCTGTGGTTAGGGTTAGAGTTAGGACCCAGCTTCCTTAGTTTCCGCAGGAAGTAGATCCTCTGTTGGGCCTTCTTGAGGATGGAGTTGATGTTGGTCTCCCACTTCTGGTCTTGGGATGTGATGGTTCCCAGAAACTTGAAGTTTTCCACAGTGGACACCGGGTTGCCAGATATTGTTAGAGGGAGTCGTTCTGGGGGGTGTTTCCTGAAGTCTACTGTCATCTCAACTGTTTTGAGTGTGTTTAGCTTGAAGTTGTGTTCTTTACACCAGAGCAGCAGCTGTTCAACCTCCGTCCGGTATGCAGACTCATCCTAGTCCTTGATGAGACCAATGACATGACACGACTTTGATGATGAAAGTCTTGTCATTCTGTTTGCAGCTTTTAGGCTCCACCCCTTCTTGTCACAACATAAGAACTTGTTGTTTGATTGGTCAGAAGTTCATGTTGTTGTTTATCCTGAAAGCTCTCAGATGTTCTACTTTGCATCAACTAATCCAGAATCTAACTGTTGTACCCAAAGCAGACGGTTATACAGATGGTCAAAAACTCATTGGTGGAGATAAAACTGAATTTGTGCCAAAAGCTGTGGAGCTTTAACCCATACGGATTTGTGGATAAATAATGTTGGATATCAGAGCTTTGTTTTAATGGTTATTCTGGAGTGTAGACTCCAATGGGAGGAAACCCCAGGCTGTGAAAGGTGTGTGTGAAACCGAGCATAACGGTGATAATTGATCACACGTTGTTTAATATCTTTACCTAATGGAAGAGGATTGGTCCAAGCACTGAACCCTGAGGAACTCCATGGCTAACTCTTCTATTAGACTACTTTAAAAACAAACTGACTTGGATTCATTGATTCAGTGATTTTTATTCAATAATTGATTTACAAGTTAAATATAAAGTATAAACTGCTGAACAGGAAATGATTTCAGTCTTTGAAGGTTTAAATTTGACCTGAATGAAAGTTTAAACATTAAACCAGTAGAACCCATGTGTCTGATGAAACACGAGGAGATCTCTGGCTCCACAGATCCGTCTGAAGTTCTAATGAAAGCTTTGCCTGCTGCGGTCTGATGCATGTGGTGACAGCTGGAGTCTGATTGGCTCTGATTACAAGCTGTGTGTGTGTGTGTGTGAGTGTGTGTGTGTGTGTGTGTGTGTGTGTGTGTGTGTGTGTGTG